GTGTATATAGCAAATAAAGCGTGAACTGAGAATCTCGGAAGCACTGGACAGCTGTTTCGACCTGGTTGGATCTCATCAGCAGTGCGAATGCATCGACCCGACTGGGGATCGAACCCGAGACTTCGTGGGCAGAACGCAAGCGTTCTACCCACTACGCCACCGGGCAGCTGATCAGACCGTTTTTCATTTTCCATGTACACGATATAACACAACCCATCTTTGAGAGTTTGTTGCGGGCCACGGACCCTGCCGGTGGCGTAGTTTGATTCGAACAGTTTGTTAGTAAGGTCCTTAGATTGCCCGGCTGCTATTCACTACAGTGATCAGCTCTAACAACAGTGAGATTCGAGAATGTATGATCTGCATCCTGTCCGTGACGATGAAGTCCTGGAGATGGTCAGATAAAAGCAAATCCATAATCCGATTTTTTCAGCACACAAAATGCATGTGTAATCTAATATACATCACACGCGACTATGTATCCATTTATCCAACGAAACGTGACAATCACGTGTTTGGTTCAACAGAAAAAAATCATTGCCTGCGTTGTAATCGACATTCAATGTGAAAAATAATTGAGATATGTCAACATATTCTCCTCTTATGAGATGGATTGGTAAACACGAGTATATGAGATCCCTTCTGGCCTCAACACGTACCTCTGGAATGTCACCTTGTCTGACATTGCTCAATTGTATTAGCACAAACTGCTGTCTACTGCGTAAGTAATTTTTGAAATTATGAAATTTACTTATCTTTATGGTTTAGCCTAAAACAGAAAGAAGTGCATTTACTCATTATCGGGTAGTGAGAGACCCATCTATAACACCAGGTGATCCACTCCGTTGAACAGATATTTCAGCTGCGATTCACTTGAACTTGCAAAACAAATCTTGGCTGTAATTTTGAGTTACTTATGGATGTTCTTTATACAGCAACACTTTCTCACAATAAGTATCCGCTTTTAACTTTGAAAATATCTCTTTTTTTATTTCAACCGAATGGACTGCGTTCTGTTCGGTTCAGTTCCACTGGTTCAGCAAGGAATGAGCAGTTAAGGCAAACGCGTTATGGTTGCCAGGCCACATAAATACAAAGCATTTCAGACACCAAAACTGACCACAACAACCCCGACCCAAGCATATTAATAAATTTTTCTGTTCGAATGATCCACGCAATGAAAAGTGCATCGTCCCTGGTCGTAGTTACTGCGGTAATCTACGGTGACTGAGCCGTCGTCAATGGCCGAGCCACTATGACCAACTATGCCCCAGGTGTAGCGCGCACGAAACAGTGCACCGTCCTTCATGCTTATCGAGTCGTGTCCAGCTTAGTTATCTTGCGCAAATCGCACGACCTCACCGAACCACGAAATCGACGTCCGTCATGGAGCTCGACCAGATGCACGACTGAGGTCTGCTTCATTTCAACAAAGAGCGTGGGAAGATAGGTTGTCAACCCGGGGGTAGAGAACATGTGTGATCAACTGACAAATGAGGTGCACTGAATGGAAGTGGATCCAACCACAGCGTTTCTTTTTCAAGTCAAAGTGACAGCTTCTCAAATCAATCCTAAATGGCATAGTGGAGAAAGTTGAACATTCGGTTCTGACCTTTCGCGCTCGTAAAATAGCAAATCACAGTTGTCTGTCATCGGATTTAACGGACAATGATAAACTACATTAGTCTGGCTGGTTGGAGGTTTTAAGAAACATGAACAATAAAAAACCCAATAGGGTGTGCTAATAGACCTGTGAGTTGCGATCATGCTTTACCATTTGACTGAGTTTCCTTGTTTAAGAGTGCGAATGTACCACAGTTGAAAAGTTCTACTCAGCGGGGTGTTTCCGGGCTAGTGAATGATTTGATATTTCGTTTGTAAATCAAGATGTCCCCGTATCTTCTCTCGTTGACCTCATCAGAGTTGGCAAGCCCAGGTGCCGTTCTCATCGTAATGTCTGAATGATCAAAATTCAAAACAAATTTGCGACCTCCGGCTGAATCTCAAGAGAAGGTGGTTCTGTGAGTTGTCCTAGTCTGATTTTTCAAATCCCATTACATGTATCGACCGGGATAACAAACACGCCCTCAATGCAATGGGTTCTGAGTTCAAATTGTGAACGGGGCGGTGAATGAGCCCTAATGATAAGCTCTAAGTAGAGCACATTTCGAGTTTAGTGTCTCCTGAGTGTATGGTTTACCAGATAAACTAAGCTTTGTGCGTGAAGATGGAGTCTGAAAGATCGTCAGTTCAAATTACTTGTTGCTATTATTATTATTATTATTACCAATCAGAAGAGTTCTCGCGTGTTCTTTCATCTACTTGTAGAAATCCCCTCCAACTCCGAGTTACGTTCAGTAAATGCAACCGAAAGGGAGACACTCTAACTGCCGGACATGACGGTGGTTGATCGCGTCAGTTTAGCAGAGAGTCCCGTCATCGAAACCACATGTGTGAGCTTGTGGTTTACGAAACGTCATGCTACCTCCTACGAAAGGTGTTGGTGCATGGTAAATTACTATCTTTAATAGAACTCCTCATAAAAGATTGGTTATAGCCAACTCCTTAATTATATAAGGATTTGTGACTTCTAATGAAGAAGTATGCCACCCCAAACTTGTTTCCGTTAACATAATTTGTGATCGAAATACTAGAGATAATGTTACTACCGAATCCCGGATTTCGATTGATCACCAATGGCCTTCGTTAGTTGTTATTGGAGTTTGTCACATTTTGATTAGAAATTAGTGTAACACCTGTCTCAGGTTGCCTTTATCCCCAGAAAACAACTGTTGTATTCAGCCAGTAGTCTGGAATTGTTTAGGCCCTGGGGAATCCAAACTCCATCCGACTGTTCGCGATTTGATTCACAGTCGGGACGCCGAATATTCTCGATGTTAATGATCACCGGTAGAAAATTCACCAATTAGCAGGTAGTGAAATCAACATCCTAGACAAAGAGTTTCCGGTATCCATCCGTATTTTGCAGTATTCGGGAGAACGCTCGCTGTGCTCTAGTTTACACATCGAATATTTTAATTTAATATTTACTATAAACCGGGGCAAATATGCATCTTACCTACGGTTTCCCCATCAGACGTCATTTTTATCTACTTTTTCTATTGTATGATGTGGTATTGAGATTTGTGTACTTTAAGCGTACTGTGACAGGTATGATCATGCACCATTTGCTATTCAGGCGGTTCGAATATCATCTCAAGATGTCGGGGTATCATTCGCAGCTGTCTGAGAATCACTTCGAACTGCCTGGTTGACCTCATCGGCGTTGACACGTAAATGTACTGTTCACACCTCCCAGCGATGTCTGAATGACCATCATGCAGCACAGATTTCTCAACCTCCCGTTGTGAAGCACGGGGGAGACGATTGTGATACGTGCCTCGGCACACACATCCCATTCCCCATGAGATATTTTGGTTGTTTACTTAGCCTGTACGCGTACGCGTCTCTCCGTGTGTGTGTGCACGTGTGTAGTTCTCCTCCCAGTGAAAATTCCTATCGGACCATGCTCTACTGACACCAATGCATCATCCGCGCGGTCATCGCTTGAGCGATTGTTTAGGTCCATCGCATGATGCTGAAATAGGTCCCATATAATACACCTAAAAGGGGCTGTACTGGGACACCAATCGATCATGTTCGATCGCTCAGTGTTGACCAAATTCACATCCAGTTTCTTCCACACTTGCAGATTCTATTCTATCTATGTGATACCACCACAGAAGCACTTTCAAATACTGAACGACTAAAACACCAGTTTGACAATATATACAGAACGGAATGAAATCTCTAGCAAATGCAATTGAAATAACGTAACGAGGGATGTCGAAATATGACAGTTACGGAGGCTTACAAAAAATTCAAAGTTAAAAATTGGAATGTTTTTCAAAAATGCATTTTCTGAGTACTGAAATTAATCATCCTCATCGATAAAATCATATAGTCCCACTAAAACGTCCTCCACACAAAGTAAGCCGGGCAAATTAGAGGTAAAGTTTCGAGTGCATTTGCTGTGATTTTCGGCATCATCGAATGGTGAAATCGATGTCCTATAGTTTGGATTCTATAAATGTCCCTAACCCCGCGCATTGACAACACCCACCCGTATATACAGCGCAAGCCCAAACAGTTGATCTAAGAGATAGCATCGACAACACAGTATTCCATATTCGAATTATCCATCCAACGTACAAAGGAATCTCAAATCAACCAAAACAGCATTAATCTGTCTGCACGGGCAGGTTTTCCTTAAGATACACCGGAATCTACCGAATAAGTTTGAACGTTAAGTGAAGATCCAAGTGTCATAAAATCAGTTCTACCATTGTAGTCTCTGAGCTCAGCTGGTACCGCGCGGGCTGCACAGAGGTGTAGATGGTGTTGTGTAGATTCGACTGAAGCTACTAATCTCTCCATAATATAAGCCGTATGTGATTGTATTTCAGTAACTACTGAACGACTGAAATCAGTTTCTATTTGTTTTCACAGGTTTATGCGGTCGGGCAGTTGGAGTAGACCTGCTAGACACAGCGGGTTCTACCGGAAAATCTGCATTTTATCCATACTCCGTGGAACATTACTACAAACACCATATGCAATCGGGTATGGTAAGTGAGTGACAGTTT